GGAAGCCACTGAGGGTTTAGAACTGAGAAAAAAATAACAATTTGAATTATTTTAAAATAATATTATATAACATATTAAAACATACTATTAAGGACACCTTGATGGCTCAGTGGATGAGCATCTGCCTTTGGCTCAGGGCGTGATCCTAGGTCTGGGGATCAAGTCCCACATCAGGCTCCTTGTGGGGAGCCTGCTCCTTCCTTCCCTGTGTCTCTGCCTCCCTCTCTCTGTGTCTCTCATAAATAAATTAAAAATCTTAAAAAATAATAAAAATTTAAAAAATAGAACATGCTATTAGTACAACTATACAGTAATATTAATTAATGTATATATTGTACAATATAAAGGATCATCTGGCTTCTTTTTTGAAAATAGGCTGCAGTGGGGGATATACTAGAGTATAGGTCAGGTATAGTTGCTGTAACAAAGAGTTATAAGATATAAAAGTCCAAGAAGTCTAGATAGGTAGGACATCTGTGCTCTGTGAAACCATTCAGGAATCCATAATCTTTCCTTTTTATTTTACCATTCTTTGGGGTTTTGTCCTAATTTATGTGGTCAGAACTAGGTCACTATCATGAAGAAATTCCATCTGCGAGGAAGGAAACAGGTGGAATCCAAGGTTTAGCTATACTTTGTACCAGTTGCATTTCCCAGCATATTGTAAGTGTTCAATAAATGTTTGAATGAATACATACCTATTTTATATCTGAGTAAGTTAAGAGATATAGAACTAACCAAACTTGACTAAGAATCTGTACTGGAACATGATCTAAATCCTGAACACTAAGAATATATGTATAGGAGTAACTATCATAAAGTGGTTATATATTCATGAAATGAGAATGTCTTAGGTAAAGGTAACATTGTTTTGATCTCCTTAGAAATAGTTACTGTAGTTACTGTACAGTCTTTAGATGTGATTATTAAGGTTTAAAATAGTTATTAGGAGGATTCAAGATGGTAGCATAAGAAGACTAGATTCCCCTCCTCCCATGGACACCACAAATTTATATCTTTAAATGGAATAGTATCCTCTGAAAAGGAACTGAGAACTAGATAGACAGTGCCTCTATAACAAAAGACAAAAGAGACACATGGAAATGGGTATAAGAGGCAAAGGCATAGCCTCACCCTGAATCCCACCCCAGATACAGTGACTCCACAATTGGGAGGGATGCCCAAAATATGGAACACTCTCTCAGCATACTTTTGTGATAAAAACTTCAATAAATTAGGTATAGGAGAAATGTACCTCCACATAATAAAGGCCACATATGACAAACCCACAGCTAACGTCTTACTCAGTGATGAGAAGCTAAAAGTTTATCCCCTAAGAGCACCACTTTTATTCAATAGTCCTGGAATATAAGCCACAGCTATTAGGCAAGAAAAAGAAGTGAAAGACATCCAAATTGGAAAGGAAAACATAAAACTATCACTCTTTGCAGATGACATGATACTATATGTGGGAAACTATAAGACTCCAGTAAAAAAAAAAAAAAAAAAATTTAAACTCCAGTAAAAAAATATTAAAACTAATAAATGAATTCTATAAAGTTGCAGGATACAAAATTAATATATAGAAATCTATTGTGTTTTTATACACTACCAATGAACTATCAGAAAGAGAAGTGAAGAAAACAATCCCATTTATGGTTGCATCAAAAAGAATTAAATACTGGGACACTGGGCAGCCCAAGTGGCTCAGTGGTTTAGTGCCTCCTTCGGCCCAGGGTGTGATCCTGGAGACCCGGGATCGAGTCCCACGTCAGGCCCTGCATGGAGCCTGCTTCTCCCTCTGCCTGTGTCTCTGCCCCCCCCTCTCTCTCTGTGTGTCTCATGAATAAATAATTAAAAAAAAATACTGGGACACTGGGATGGTGCGTGCAGTTAAGCGCCCAGCTCTTGATTTTGGCTCAGGTTGTGATCTCACGGCCATGGGATGGAATTCCAAGTTCGACTCTGTGCTCAGCATGGAGTCTAATTGAGATTCTCTGTCCTTCTCCCTTGACCCTCTCATTTGTGCATGCTCTCTCTCTCTCACTCAATAAATAAATCTTAAAAAAAAAAAAAAAAAGAGGGGCACCTGAGTGGCTCAGTTGGTTAAACATCTACCTTTGGCTCAGGTCATGATCCTAGGGTCCTGGGTTCAAGCCCCTCATCAGGCTCCCTGCTCAGTAGGGTGTCTGCTTCTCCCTCTCCTTCTGCCCACCCCTCACTCCCCACTTGTGTCCTCTCTCTCTCTCAAATAAATAAAATCTTAAAAATAAGTAAACATTTTTAAAAAGAATAAAATTTATTCTGCTAGGAATAAATTTAACTGAAGAGTTAAAAGACCTGTACTCTGAAAACTATAAGGCATTGAAGAAAGAAATTGAAGATGACACAAAGAAGGATATATCACATTCATAGATTAGAAGAATTAATATTGTTAAAATGTCTGTAGTACCCAAAGCAGTCTACAGATTCAGTGTAATCCCTGTCAAAATACCAATGGCATTTTTCACAAATAGAAAAATAACCTTAAAATTTGTATGGAACCACAAAAGACCTCAGATATCAAAGCAATCTTGAGAACAACAAAGCTTGAGGTATGATGCTTCCTGATTTCAAACTGTACTACAAATCCATAGTAATCAAAACAGCATAGTCCTAGCACAAAAACAGATATATATATATAGATCAATGAAACAGGATAGAGAGCCCAAAAATAAACCCTTCTTATAGGATCAGTTAATCTGCGGCAAGGGAGAAAGAAACATACAATGGGGAAAAGAAAATCGGGATCTCTGGGTGGCTCAGCAGTTTAGCGCCTGTCCCTTGGCCAAGGGCGTGATCCTGGAGTCCCGGTATCAAGTCCCACGTCGGGCTCCCGGCATGGAGCCTGCTTCTCCCTCCTCCTGTGTCTCTGCCTCTCTCTCTATCTCTCACTCTCTATGTCTATCATTCATAAATAAGTAAGTAAGTAAGTAAATAAATAAATAAATAAATCTATCTTTGAAAAGAAAATCTATTCAATAAATGGTCCTGAGGAAACTAGACAGATACATGCAAAATAATGAAACATTTTTCTTATACCACATACAGAAATAAACCTAAAATGGATTAAAGACTTAAAAGTAAGACCTATATCCAAAAAACTTGTAGATGAATACATAGGCAATAAGTTTTTTGACATTGGGCTTAGCAATAGTATTTTGGATATATCTCCTCAGGTAGGGGCAACAATAGCAAAAATGAACAAATGGGACTACATCAAACTAAAAAGCTTTTGCTCAGTGAAGGAAATTATCAACCAAATAAAAAGCCTACCAAATGGGAGAAGATACTTGCAAATGACATATCTGATAAGGGGTTGAAAAAAATATATATACGAACTCATGTAACTGGATAGGCAAAAAAAACCCAAATTAACCCTATTATAAAATGGACAGAAGAGCTTAATAGACATTTTTCCAAAGAACAATACAGATGGCCAACAGACACATAAAGAGATACTCAACATGGCTAGTCATCAGGGAAGTGCAAATCAAAACCACAATGAAAAAAAAAAAACCCACAATGAGATACCACCTCAGAACAGTCAGAATGACTAGTTATCAAAAAGACAAGAAATAGCAGGTATTGGAGAAGAAGTGATGAAAAGGAAACCTTCATGCCCTATTGGTCGGAATGTAAATTGGTGCAACAGCTATGCAGAACAGTGTGATATTCCTCAAAATACTGAAAATAGAAATACCATATGATCAAGTAATCCCACTTCTGGATATTTATCCAAAGAAAATAGAAACATTAATTCCAAAAGATATACACATCCCTATGTTGATTGCAGCATTATTTACAATAGCCAAGACATGGAAGGAATCTATGTATGTATTTATCAATAGATGAATGAATAAATGAGATGTGCTGTATAAATACAATGAAATATTGTTAACAATAAAAAAGAAAGAAATCTTACCATTTGGAGCAACATGAATGGACCTAGAGGGTATTTTGCTAAGTGAAGTACGTCAGAGAAAGACAAGTACCACATTATTTCACTTATATGTGGTATCTAAAAAAATGAATAAAACAAACAGACTTGTAGATACAGAGAGCAAACTAGTGGTCAGAGGGAATGGGAGTGGGGGAATGGGCAAAATAGATGAAGGGAATTAAGTATAAACTTCCATGATAAATAAGTCTCCACCTAATGTTCAGCATAGGCAATATGTTATTACAATGTTCTAATATTGTAATAACTTTATATAGTGACAAACGGTGACCAGAACTATTGAAGTGATCATTTTGTAATGTATAAAAATAGTGAATCACTATGTTGTATACTGAGACTAATATATCAATGTATATCAGTTATAAATAAAAAAAATGAAATAGCAGTTATTGAAGGTGGTAAAGTCTACATATATATGATGGAGAGAAGAAAAAGAATCTATGAAGAAGAGTGAATATAGTCTTTATTCTAACATTTTTAGTACCTAAGGTAATTTTACATGGGCAAGAATTTTTTTTTTATTCAGACAATAAATATTTGGGAGTGTGAACAAAACTATCTATAGTATATCTAGGCATTCTTTTTTGTCAATATATTTAAAATAGTTTGTGTGTGTATATACATTACGCACACATGCGCATTTTATATATTTGTAATTTCAGAAATCATTTACTCTACATAAGGAGTTATTTTAAAATAGTAAGTTTTACATCTAAAAATTAATAAACTTAACAATATTTTGATTATTTGTAAAGATTACTTCTGAGCCACTGAACTAAGAATCTTACTATTGTCCTTTGAAGTGTATACTAGGGAGTTCTTAACAAGGGTGTAACAGTTAATATTGTTATCAGTGAAACTGAATGGAAAATCCCTGAAACATTTCTGATAAGCCTTATGCAAGATAAAGATCTTTTAGATAAATTGAGATTGTTAGTCCTTAAAATGGACTTTTTTTATGTCTATTTTGTTTGAAATGTTATTTTTTTCTTTCTCATAGGGGGAACAATATATTTTCAGTAAGAATCAGTAACTGGAAGTACAAGTTTGGTTATTTCATAATGTTAAAATGAAGCTTTAACCAGCAGAGGTAAGAATATGTTTTACCTCTTTTGCATTTAAGTCATGAGATCAAAATATTTGTCGAGTTTCTATGAAGAATTATTTCAAAGGTTGTGAAGGGTCTGAGATTTTATCCCACTTGCAAGCTAACAAGTTAGCCTGCTGCAATGCCATGGATGTGGACAGAAGACATGAGACTCCTAGATCTAAGAAAAGGATGGTTTGCATGCATAGTAGTAGCAGTAGCTACAGTACCAGGCAACACCTGCATATGAGTAGGTTGTATTATAGGAGAGGAATCCTAAGTTTAGGGAGACCCAGATCTTTTATAATGGAAAGTAAGTCTGCCTGACTTATGCCTCAGGAGATTATCTCTGTTAAAGGGAAAATAAACAAATTTGCCTTCTGTTCCAGTATGAGACACTATCTCTGTTTGCTGATCCTACATCCTTGAAAAATAGTCTGGAACAGAGGCAGTCAGTGTCTGCTTGCAAAATATGCAGAAACAGGAGACTCTGGAGGATTGTCTTTCAACACTTTCTTACTCTGAATTGTGTTTTTAAAACATGCATTATTAATACAATACTATTTTGTAATAGTGAAAAGACAGAAATCACTGAAATATCCAACAATAGGAGATACTTTAAATCATAATATTCATATTGTAATAGTAAACAATTGAAAGTAATGTTGTAAAACTACATTTATTGACATACGTGCTCATCAAAAAATTAAATAAATATAAAGTGTGCATATAGTTTGATCCCAATTTTATAGAAATTTTATAAAAGCACACAAAAGTGAAGAATATATACCAAAGTATATGTCAATGGACAGAATCATGAATGTTTTTACTTTTGCTTGTCTGTATTTTTTTTAAACTCCTTTCAATGAATACTTTAGGCTTTTGTAATGAGGGGAAAAAATTTTTTTTTTTTTTTTGAAATTTAAGAACAAATAGTAATTTAAGAACTGTCCCCAAGAGGATGAACCGTCATGCATTTAAATGACGATTAAAGGATGCTAATTCTCTTTTTGACTTTGGAGTAGACTGGATGTGCAATATAGAGTTGGAAGAGAATAATGAGGTGACTTAATTTTTTTCTTTAGTATTTTATCTGTGATAAAGTCAAGGGTTTCTTTTAGCAATTTGCTCTATTATTTATCATATAGATGTCACAAAGGAAAGCATACTATTGGAATGCTTTCCAATTCTTTTAGAAAATGCATTCTATTGGAATGTATCTTAAATTATAATATTATTGTTATTTAGTAAGTATATCATTTGTAAGTATATTTAGTTGATTCTGATGCTGTTTAGTTGGGATAGACTGTGTTAGATATACGGACTAATTTATTTCATTTTTATTTTCTGCCTGTCATACTCTGAAACATGTTTAAATATTAGTTTTTTTGTAAATTGGCATTTTTGTCATTGTGCTTCTCATGATTTTCCCCCTACTTTTAATAAGGTGCTGTTACCAGATTTGTCTTCTCAGTATAAATTGAAAATGACTGAAGTTCAAGCAATGGTAGAATTCTCTGTGGAGCTAAACAAGTTCTACAATGTGGATTTATTTCAGAGAGGGTATGTATTTTAATATGAAGATGATATATTTTGCATAAGAAAAGATGTACAGATTTTCATTTAAATTTAATATATACTTATAATCCAGCATATATCAGGAAAACAAGCTATATTCAAGTAATTCTTTTCTTAGAGAAATTTAGTTTTAAGTAGATGCTTGAGAATTATTCACATGGATTTAGTGATAATGCTGGATATATGTAATGTGCATTTATGAATTTGTACTGAGTGTTGAAAGGACTTCTGTGAAAATGTTAAGATCTCATTTTGCTTGTAAAAAGTAGTGTATGGGGAAAATACATGTACAAAACAGCTAAGTGGGAATGCAAAATGACAAATCTTCAAGAAGTATATATAGAAAGTACTCTAGGAATCAAAACAAAAACATTTTTCTGGGTTAGTATGTTAGGAAAGGCATTTTGGAGAAATAGGGACAAAATATGGTTAAGACTTGTATAGGCAAAGGATAAAATGAAAAACTGTTTTGGGAGGAGAGAGCAACATGAATCAGGTCTTGGAAATAGGAATGAACATGCTATTTTAAAGAATTTTTAGGAAATTGGATATTTTTTAGGAGAATTGCAGAAGGAAAGATAGTAAAGAAAGGAGAGGTTATGTTTATGAAAGGCTCCTTATGTCTGAAGAAACAGCAGGGATTTGGAGAGCCATCATCAGTGGTTTCCAAGCAATAATGAAATTATCACTATTATTACAGTAAGCACTTACTAACAGGAAGATTGTGATATATTAGATTGATGGTTGTGCAGAAGAAACAGAAACATAGGGGACAATTTAGAGATGCCTGTAACTCTGAAGTTCTGTACTAAGAGTGGTACTAATGAAGCTTTATCAGAAGTAGGGTGAGAGATATTTTCTATTGAGGTTTTTCTTGTTTTGTTTTATTTTTGGTTTGTCTTGATTTTGCCATCTTGTTGAAAAAAAATAAAAACAGCTGTGCTCTGCTTCACCTCATAGTTTCTCACTCCTCGCAGGACAGGCTGGGCTTGTTTTCATGACAGAGACAGGAGTCAAAGAAAGAGAGCAGAGGATGCAGGGCCCCTTGAATTAGCACTTTTATTTTTTTTCCACTCCATTCTGTTGGTTAAGCAAGTTATAAGGCCAGCCCAGGAGTCTAGCCTGACAGTTCTTAAGCCAGTAAAACTTACTTTTAAAAATTTTATGAGGTTTCGGTATGTCTGATAGAGTTCATTCCAAGCTCTGAAGCCCAGACCCACAATTGTCCTTTGAGGCATGACTATTCTCTAGATGTAACCACTACTATTTGGGGATCAGAATTCTGTGGGATCATGCCCCTCAACTTCCTGAAAACCCTTTGTCAAACTGAGAATGTCTACTTAAACATTGCTTTAATTTCTTTAGAGCTCTAAAGAAAGGGATTTATAGCTACTCCTTTAATATGATCTTTGTCCATGGCACATTTTATTTTGAAAATTTTTAAGGAGACTGAAGATGAAAAAGGTTTTTTTTCTAATCTAGCAACTCCTGGTGCAGCTATATTCCCTCTACATTCTGTTTGTAAAATGACCAGTTCTTTCTTTAGCTTATCTCTTTCTTGGAAAACCTTATTATACTTAGCAAGGAGTAACCAGTTGACATTTTTAGCATTCTCCCTGGAAATTAGCTTGCTTAAGTCCCAAAGTTTCTTAGATACGTTGTCTAACAACTAGTAAGTTACTGCTGACAGTGTTTTTATCAAAAGTTTCATCACTGGGACACCTGGTTGGCTCAGCAGTTGGGCATCTGTCTTCAGCCCAGGGCATGATCCTGGGGACCTGGGATCGAGTCCCATGTCGGGCTCCCTGCATGGAGCCTGCTTCTCCCTCTGCTTCTGCCTGTGTCTCTGCCTCTGTCTCTTTGTCTCTCATGAATAAATAAATAAAATCTTAAAAAAAAAAGTTTCATCACTGTGTAACATGGGTTATCATTTTTTAAATCTCTATAATTTACTCATTTTTCTTGCTTCTACCTTTACCATTGTTTTGGTCCCAAAGTCAGTGCCACATATTTTAAGTTTTTGTTACGGTGCACACTACTTCTAAGTTACTGATTTCTGTTTTAGTAATGTATTGCCACAACAGTATAGCTAATGACAAACACAAAGCTTCAGTGGCATCACAACAATAAACATTCATTTTTGCTCACAAGTCTGTGGATCAGCTGAATGGTCTGTTCTTCTGGGCTGGCTTGGCTGATTTTGTTGGACTCACCTATGAATTCACACCCAACTGGCAGGTTGGCTGGGTGCTGGCTGATACAGAAAATGGCCTTATCTGGGTGGACTCCATTTTGTTTTATGATATCTCATCCTAGCTTATTCTCATGGAGGAGGTAGCATCCAAAGAGAAAGAAACTATTCAAGAAGACCTTTTAAGACCTAGGCTTGAAACTAGCACATTGTCATCTATGCCACATTACATTGCCCAAAACAAGTTGTAAGGCCAGCGCAGATTTAAGGGTAGGGAACTAAACTCTACTTCCTATTGGAAGTCAAGCTGCAAGATGTGTGGACACTGGGACAGGTGAAAAAATCAGAGACATTTTAAAAATCATTCTATTCTAACATTTTTTTGTTATTAATTTTTATGAGGCATTTCAGGGTAAGTATAGTAAGATTTAATGACTGATTCCATATGGAGGATGAGACTGAAAAAGCATTAAAAATACGTGTACAGAATATATGTGATATGTAAGATACTACTTTGAAGTTGCTCAGCAAAGAAAAAGTACGGATGAATCAAATACAGCAAAAGTCTTCCTAATTGTTGAAAATGAGTAGTGGGCATATGGGTTCATTGCTCTAGTTTTTGCAAATTGGGTATTTTTAATAAGAAATTTAAAAGATAATGCTGAAGTTTTAAATCCTATTGACTTGTACAGTATTAGTAATGTTGAAATCAATAAGGAGGTTGAAAATTTGTTCATTTTGATATATTGAGTTTGTGAGATATCCAAGTGGAGATAGTTCATAATTAATTGAAGGTTTGGAACTGGAGATAAAGATTAAGTGAATTGTTATTCCTTTTTTTTTTTTTCCAATCATCATAAACATAGCATGTGTAATTGCTATTTTCATTAGTTTCCTCATATTCTACAATCTGGTTTCCCCATCCATTGAAGACCTTTGAAGAATATTATTATGTTTCTGATCTTTCAAAAATCTAATGGTTAGAGGATCATTGATTTTAGATACATTGCTTGGCTTGTCTTTAATTGAGGTATAATTGACATACAATATTGTACTAGTTTCAGGTGTACAACATAGTGATTTGACATAGGTCTACATTACAAAATGATCACCACAATAAGTCTATTTACTATGTGTCACCATACAAAGTTAATACCAGATTATTGACTTTATTCCCCATGTTGTATGTTACATCCCTATGACTTATTTATTTTTTAACTGGAAGTTTGTACTTCTTGATAACCTATACCCATTTTGCTCCCCTCAGCCTTCCTCCCCTCCAGCAGCCATCAATCTGTTCTCTGATTCACTGAGTCTAGGTTTTGTTTTGTTTGTTTTGTTTTTTAGATTCCACATGTAAGTGAAATCATGCAGTATTTTGTCTTTCTCTTACTTATTCCAGTCAGCATAGTACCTTCAAGGTCCATCGATGTCACAAATGGCAAGATATTACTCTTTTTTTTTTTTAATGACTGAGTAGTGTCCATTGTATATATATCACATCTTATTCATTCATTGATTAATGGACACTTAGATGGTTTCCATATCTTAGCTATTGTAAATAATGCTAAAATGAACATAGGGGTGCATATACCTTTTTGAATTAGTGTTTTTGTGTTCTTCAGGCAGAAGTAGTTCTATTTTTAATTTTTCCGGGAACCTCCATAGTTTTCCATAGTGGCTACACCAATTTACACTCTCACTAACAGTGCACAAGAGTTCCCTTTTCTCCACATCTTCAGCACTTATCTTTTGACGTTTTGATAGTAGTCATTTTAACAGGTGTGAGGTGACATTTCATTGTGGTTTTAATTTGCATTTCCCTGATAGTGATGTTGAACATTTTTTTCATATACCTATATAGCTTCTTTGGAACAATGTCTAGTTAGATCTTTTGCGCATTTTTAAAAAGGATTTTTCTTTATTCGAGAGAGAGCAGAGAAAGAGAGCAAATGATCAGGGAGCAAGGGCAGAGGGAGAGAGAAAAACAGACTCCCCACTGATCAGGGATCCTGATGTGGGACTCGGTCTTAGGACCCCAGATTCATGACCTGAGCTGAAGGCAGATGCTTAACCAACTGAGCCACTCAGGTGCCCCTCTTTTGCCCATTTTTAAATAAGACTGTTTGGTTGGGGTTTTTTCTTTTTTTCTTTTGGAGGTCTGGTGGTTTTTTTCTATTGAGTTGTATGAGTTCTTTATAATAATTTTAGATATTAGCCCCTTATCAGATACATGACTTTCAAATATTTTCTCATTTAGTAAGTTTCCTTTTCATTTTGTTGATGGTTTCCTTTGCTGTGTAGAAGCTTTTTAGTCTGATGTAGTTCCAGTTGTTTATTTTTGCTTTTTGTTGCCTTTGCTTTTGGTGTCAGAGTCAAAAAATCATCACTAAGACCTATGTCAAGGAGCCTACTACCTATGTTTTCTTTTATTTTACTTAATGTTTAGTTAAAATTCTCAGCATGAGGAGTTGATTAGTTCCTAGAAATCTTTGTTCTTTTGTTCTCCTCTGGTTCTAGGGCTTCTATGATTCCACTTTGATTTTTGGTTTTAGTCATCTCATGTTTTCAATCTGACCTCATCTTAATCTCAACTAATTATCTATCTTTATTTATGGAGTTTTGCCTTGTTTCTTTAAAGCCAAATTGTGACTCCCAGGGTTCTAGATTTAATTGGCTAGCTTTTCATTCACTCTTCTTTAATTCTGGCTTTGTGGCCTGACCATACACTCTCTCCAATGCTATACCTTGCTATGAATAATAGTAGAAATATATTTATGTATTTTAATCTTTGTATTATTTACAAGTTTAATAATTTAAACTATTAGGAAATTATTAATAAAAATAAACAAAATATTCTGTTCCCTTGTGTACATCTAAACTCATCCCAATTTGTAATCTTGATTTAGCTTTTAGTAATCCTGTTTGTGTGTCATGTGTATATATGTGTGTATAAATGTGTATATCCTCCATTACATGTACACATTTGCAGTGTAATGATGATAAAACACAAACATAATGTTTACTGCAAATTTTTTATTCTACATAAACTGTTATTCTAATGACTGGTTGATTTTTATATATAGATATAAAAATTATAAAATCCTACAGAATAAATAAAGTACATAAACAAATAGCTCTGACCTTGAAAATATGCTGAATTCTTTAAACCAAATGCATGTCTTTATTTTGTAATTTATTGTATTAAACCAATTTTCAAAAACCATTATAATCTATATTTTCTCAAAATTATGCTTAAGAATAATTTACCTTTATTAATTTTTATTTTTTATTTATTTATTTTTAAGATTTTATTTATTCATGAGAGACAGAGAGAGAGGCAGAGACATAGATGGAGAAGCAGGCTCCTCACAGGGAGCCTGGTACAGAACTCGATCCCTGGACCCGGGATCATACCCTGAGCCCAAGGCAGCCGCTCAACCACTGAGCTACCCAGGCATCCCTCTTTATTATTTTTTAAAAGAAAAAAATGAGTAACCAAATTAAGCAGTGAAAAATCTAAGGTGTGATACTAACTCCTTTTGTTGCTATGACATTCTCTCATTTAAAGTAAGAAATATTGGACACCTGGGTGGCTTAGTCTGTTAAGTGTCTGCCTTTGGCTCAGGTCATGATCCCTGGGTCCTGGTATCCAGTCCCATGTCCAGTTCCCCGCTGGGGAGGGAGTTGACTTCTTCTTCTGCCCCTCCCCCTTGCTTGTGCTCTCTCTCATGCACTCTGTCTCTCTCAAATAAGTAAAATCTTAAAAAAAAACAAACACTTCTACATTTCTTTTGTTTCTCTCATTCATCTTTATACATGCCCATTTCTGTTTGGGTTTTCTTGCATGCTGCTGATATTTGACCTGTGGATCTGATATATTTCTTTTTTTTTTAATATTTTTTAAAGATTTTATTTATTTATTCATGAGAGATACAGAGAGAGAGATAGGCAGAGACACAGGCAGAGGGAGAAGCAGGCTCCATGCAGGGAGCCTGATGTGGGACTCGATCCCGGGTCTCCAGGATCGCGCCCTGGGCCAAAGGCAGGCGCTAAACCGCTGCGCCACCCAGGGATCCCCTGATATATTTCTTTTCACCAATAATAAATATTATGGGAAGGGTGCCAGGTTGTCTCATTTGTTTAAACAGCTGACTCTGGATTTTGGCACAGGTCATGATCTCTCAGGGTCATGGGATTGAGCCCTGCCTTGGCTCTGTGCTCAGCACGGAATTGGCTTGTCGTTCTCCCTCTACTCTCCCCCCCTCCCCTGCCAAATAATAAAATAAATAAAAATTTTTAAAATAAATAAATCTTTTAAAAATAAATAAATATTATGGGAGATTGATATAAGCACACCAAATTTATAACTTAATACATACAGATATATAGAAATTGGGGCATTGTATATTTTAAAATATAGTTTGAAATGATTTTTTGGGTCTATTTTCCTTTAGTTTTTACCAGATACGTGCATCTATGAAAATTCCACCAAGAGTTCCCCACAGAGTAGAAGCTAGTTTGTTACATGCAACAGGTAAGCCAAGGAATATTTTTAACTTTTAAGAAAAGTTTGAAGCAACATTATAATGGCAATAATAACTTTTAATTATTTTTATTTTTTTAATTACAAATACAGGATACCAAAGAGTATCATTATAATAAATATATTTGAGGCCTCAATAAAATAGACTTGATTATAGGTTCTTTGTCTTTCTCTATGATTTCTTATGATGAGCATATGAAAGAAGGTATGTGAAATTTCCACAAAAACAAATATAAGAAGGGGTGGTGTCAGTTATGTCATGTAAGATATAATTTTTAAAAATACACAGTGAATGTGGACATATAATTTGATAAATGAGTACAAAGGTGTTTTATTATAAAGTTTTAAAGTATGCCTTTGAGAATGTTTTTTTAACCACATTTTTGGTGTGGGTTAACTACTCTAGTTAAACAAAATGCAGAAAGTAATGTATATGGTTTAAGATAGATACGTTATAGCAGCTTGGTTATTTACTTATATTCTGTATTAAAATGTTTGAACCAAACCCAGTGGTCCTGATATGATCAGTGGACATATTTTCAGCTTTCCTGATATAGTATACTCTGTTTCATTCTATGAAGTTAGGAAATGCAATGGTTAATGAAATATTCTAGAAAGTTACCATATATGTCAAATATGAATAATGAGTACACCTCACACTAAAGCCATGCTGAGCATAATTCAGCCTATTTTACAATTTAAGAAAATATTCTGGAAATTTGAAGTGTTTGGGATTATCTTTTTAGTATCCTGTGGGTACTAAAATGCGAGGTAATAATAGATTTAATGAATGGTACACAATGGAGAGTTTATTCTGTCTTCCTGAAGACTCTCAAAATGCTCAGGGAGACTTATTGCTTATGACCAAAAAATATGTACATTCTTTTAAAAAAAAACAATATTTTTTCTTGCTGGCATACATATTAAAGTGTATATTTATTGTCATTTGAACTGTTGTAAGTCCACTTTCTATGAAATACAGAGGTTAAAATAATTAATTACTATTACAAGATAGACTTGGTCCTTCCTTAATGTGGTAGACTAAATGTCTTGCCTATTGTATTTTCTAAAGTTGCCAGTTGAAAAAAATAGAATGATCTTTTTCTCTGACTCCCTTTTTATTTTTAAGCTTTATTGAGAAATAATTGACAAATAGAATTTCATATATTTAAAGTGTACAATGTGATTTGTTATATATACATTATGAAATAATTACCACAAACAAGATAATTAGCACATCCATCACCTCACATAGTGTACTCTTATGTGTATGTGTGGTGAAAATGCTTAAGATCCACTCTTAAATTTAAGTATACAGTACTTTATTATTAAATGTAGTCACCATGCTGTGCACATTAGATAGAGCTTACTCATAACAAAGTTAATCAACCCATATCTTCCTATTTCTCTCACCTTCTACCCCCTGGCAAGCATAGTTCTGCTGTCTGTTTCTATGAAATCAACTTTTTGGTTTGGTTTGGTTTGGTTTCCACATGTAAGTGATTCCATGCAGTATTTGTCTTTCTCTGTCTGACAGTTATCTCACTTAGCAGATGCCCTCCGGGTTCATCCATACTGTTGCAAATGGCAAGATTTCTATCTTTATAGCTGAATAAGATACCTCTCTCTCCCTCTGGCTGTGGCTCCCTCTTTGTATGTGTGTGTGTTATACCACATTTTCTTAATCCACTCATCTGTTGATAGATACTTAGGTTATTTCCTTACCTTGGATATTGTGACTAATGCTGCAGTAAATATGGTAGTGCAGATTTCTTTTCATCATATTAATTTCATTTCTTTCAAACATATACCCATGAGTGGGATTGCTGGATCATTAGGATAGTTGTAATTTTAATTTTTTTAGAAACCTCCACACAATTTTCCATAGCAGCTGCACCAACTTTCACTCCCACCAACAGTGCACAAGATTTCTCCTTTCTCCATGCCTTCACCAGCACTTGTTTATTTTGACATTTTGATATAGGAGTTCTAACAGGTGTGAGCTAATATCTCTTTGTGTTGCTTTTTTAAAATAAAAAAAAAGATGTATTTATTTATTTATTAGAGAGCACATGCACAAACGAACTGAGGGAGGTGAGGGAGAGGGAGGGAGAGGATCTCAAGCAGACTCCCTGTTGAGCTTGGAGCAGGATTCTGGGCTCAATCTCCAGGACCCTAAGATCATGACCTGAGCCAAAATCAAGAGCCAAATGCTTAACTAACTGGGCCGCCCAGGCGCTCCATCTGTGTGGTTTTGATTTACATTTTCCCTGGTGATGAGTGATGTTGAGCACCTTTTTATCGTACCTATCAGTCATCTGTGTCTTCTTTAAAAAAATGTCTACTCAGATCTTCTACCCAGTTTTTAATCAGATTATTTTTCTGCTATTGATCTATGAGTTCTTTTTTTTTTTTGGATATTCATCTCCTTAGATTTCAAATATTTTTTTACATTTTATAGGTTGTCTTTTAATTTTGTTGATGGTTTCCTTTGCTTTGCAGAAGCTTAATAGTTTGATGTAATCTCACTTCTTTATTTTTGCGTTTGCTTTTGGGATCAAATCCGAAGAATAATCTCCAAAACCAATGTCCAGGACCTTTTCTCTTATGTTTTCTTATAGGAGTTTTATGGTTTAGGTCTTAAATTTAAGTCTTTCATTGAATTTGAGTTAATTTCTGTGAGTGATGTAAGATAGGGGTGTAGTTTCATTCTTTTGCCTGTGGATATCCAATTTTCTCAGCACCTTTAAGAGACTATCCTTTCTCCATGATAGGTTCTTGGTACTTTGTCAAAGATTAGTTGACCATGCATGTATAGGTTTATTTCTAGGCTCTATTCTCTTCCATTGGTCTGTATCCCTGTTTTTATGTCATTATCATACTGTTTTGATTACTGTAGCCTTTTTTTTTTAAGATTTTATTTATTTATTCATGAGAGGCACACAGAGAGAGGCAGAGACATAGACAGAGGGAGAACCAGGCCCCCTGCGGGAGCCCAACATGGGGACTCAATCCCAGGACCCCGGGACCACAACCTGAGCCAAAGGCAGATGCTCAACCACTGAGCCACCCAGATGCCCCAATTACTGTAGCCTTTTAATAGTAATATTATAGCCTTGAAATCAGGAAGTGTGATGGCTCTAGGTTTGTTCATTTTTTAAGATTGCTGTAGCTATTTAGAGTCTTTTGTGGTTTCATATGAATTTAGGATAATTTTTTCTATTTCTGTGAAAAATGCCATTGAAATTGTGATAAAGATTGTTTTGAATCTGTAGATCATGTGGGATAGTGTGGACATTTTAACAATATTACTCTTCCAATCTAAGAACACAGGATATCTCTCCTTTTATTTGTGCCTTCTTCCGTTTCTTTCATCAGTATCATAGCTTTTAGTGTATATGTTTTTATCACCTTGGTTAAATTTATTCCTAAGTATTTTATTATTTTCAGTGCTATTGTAAATGGAATTTCTCCTCTTTTTAAATAATTGAGTGATTTTACATTTATGAAATAAACATGCACAGAGCAACTTCCTTTTATTTTTTATTGAAGTATAGTTGACATATAATGCTATATTAATTTCAGATAAACAACACAGTGGTGGGATTGCTTTCTTGATTTCTCTTTTAAGTAGCTCATTGTTCATATATAGACAAACAACTGATTTTTGTATGTTGATTTTGTGTCCTACAATTTTGCTGAATTTGTTGATTAGTTCTGACAACCTTTTGGTGGAATCTTTAGATCATGTCATCTGCATACAGATAATTTTACTTCTTCCTTTCCTATTTGAATGTGTATATAATTTCTTTTTATTGCCCAATTGCTGTTGCTTGGATTTCCAGTGCTATGTTGAATAGAAGTGATGAGAGTGGGTACCCTTGTTTCTAACTTTAGAGGAAAGATTTTAACTTTTCACCGTTGGGTATGATGTTAGCTTGCTGTGGGCTTGTCCTATTCGGCCTTTATTACATTGAGGTACATTTCTTCTATACCTACTTTATTGAAGTCTTTATCATGAAAGTATGTTGAATCCTACATCTACTGAAATGATGATATGACTTTTATCCTTCATTCTGTTAATATGGTATATCATGTTTATTTGCATATTGCAAAGCATCCTTGCATCCCAGGGATAAATCTCTTGACCATAGTATATGATTCTTTTAAAATACTCTTGGAATTGGTATGTTAGTATTTTGTTTTTGCATTGGTGTTCATCAGGGATATTGGCCAGTGATCTTCTTATCTTCTTTTCTTGTAACGCACTTGTCTGGCTTCCATATCAGGGTAATGCTGGCCTTTTAAAATGAGCTTGAAAGTGTTCCTTCCTGATCAATTTTTTTTGGAAAAATTTGAGAAGGATATGTATTCATTCATCTCTAAGTGTTTGGTAGGATTCACCAGTTAAATCATCTGGTCCTGGCTTCTATATGTTGGGAGATTTTTTATTATTGATTCAGTCTCTTATTGGTCTGTTCAGATTTTGTTTCTTCATGATTCAGTCTTGGTAAGATGTATGTTTCTAAAAGTTTATCTGTTTCTTCTAGTTTATCTAATTTTTCATTGATTGTTCATTGTTGTCCCTTATTCTTGTATTTTCGTGGTATTAGTTGTTAGTGGCTTTCATTTATAATTATTTGAATTATGTTTTTTTCATAGCTTAGAGGTTTGTTGATTTGTTTACCTTTTCAAAAAACCAACTGTTGATTTCATTGATGTTTTCTGTTGTCTTTTTTATTCTCTATTTCATTTAATTCCACTCTGATCTTTGTTGTTCCCTTCCTTCTGCTAACTTTGGGATTAGTTTATTCTTCTTCTGGCACATTCAGGGGTGAGAGGTCTTTCTAGGTTATTTGTATAGCAGAAATATTACATGTAATTAATGTCATTTTCAGAGTAATTTTTTTTAACATTATGACAAATGGTATTTCAGAAATACCCAAATAGAGGATATCCCGGGCAGCTCAGCAGTTTAGAGCCTGCCTTCG